GGACCTCTGAGATTGGAATAGTGAGACCTGCAGACTGGAAAAATCTCCTCCCTCATCTCCTCTGGAAATTGTTCTCTGGGCAAAAGCTACATTTAACCAGAATTCCTATTTACCTGAATTTCTAATCCCAAATTAGAATATTTCATATTTCATATTACTCCATTCTTGAGTTCTGATACTATTTTTCTCAAAAGGATATTATGTCTTAAAAATCCCAAAATAAAATGACTTTCCTTAGACACTGACAACCATAACCATGGCCAAGACCAGATTGAACTCTATTAAATACCCAGAGGATAGTACCTACTTGGAAAAGTTTGGGTGCACCCCCTAAGAGATCCGGGGAAAATATCAAATATGAAAGCATGTATACTTCATAAGATATTAATCTAGTTACATTTTTAATGCTCTATTGCATTTCAAATTATTTCAAATTATTCTAGCTGTTCAACCAGCCTGAAGGTTCAAATGCAAAAGACACCTGGTTTTTTCCATCTCCCCCTCCTCTCCACCCTTCCCCACTGCTGGAATGTCAGGTACACTGATTATTTTCTTTTTGCATACAGAAGAAGGTATGTTTACTTAATGGTACAATGAGGAGAATTTAACTATCCAAAATGTGAACAGGACATGGGTTTTCAGTAGATTTCTTGATTCCGTATCTTTGGCAGACTAGGGCTCATTTACCAAAGAAGCCCATATGCAAAGTGTCTCGTTTTATCTTTAATTTTTGAAAGTCAATCCTCAGCTGTCTTCTAAATTTGCAACTCTCAAAGCTATCTCACCTAGGAGGAAATTAAATTACCAAGAGGAGAAAAATCTGTATTTTCATGGTAATGAAACTCATAAAGTTCATTCATAAAGAAATGTATATGCTAGTACAACCAGGACAGAAAAAGTTTATAAACTGTGTGTGGCTAATATCTCATCATGTGCTGTATAATGTAATGCAAAGTTAGTTCTTCATCATCGGAGCTTATTTTCTAAACAGCAACTAATTTTCAACTTTATGGTTCTTAGAATTACGTATAAGTTGAGAGGTATACTTTAGGATATCTCTATTATGTGGGGATTACTGAGGCACACCTATGTTTCTCCCTTCCTCAGTTCTTCTTTTATTCACTCAATAGTGAATTCAAGTGCTAGGCCTTGCAACTCCAGTGGCTGAGGCTGAGGCTGGAGGATGTAGAGGTCAAAGCCAGCCTCAGCGATTTAGCAAGTCACTTAGCAACTCATCGAGACCCTGTCTATAAATAAAATACAAAAAAGAGCTGGGGATGTGGCTCAGTAGTTAAGCAACCCTGGGTTCAATCCTCAGTACCAAAAAAAAAGTGTAAGTCAGAATCCTCCCAACCAGACATTATAGACTGGCAATCAGGTAAAAGGGACAGGATTCAAAATCAAGACAGCATGAATGACAACTTCATCTTTTACAAATGGTCCCACGTGGCCTAATGTTGCAGTGTAGATATGAACTGTCCCCCAAAAGTCCATGTGTGAGACAATGCAAGAATGCTCAGAGGTGAATTGATTAGATTATGAGAGTGGAACCTCATCAGTTCATCATTTCACTTACATAGATTATGGGTGGTAGATGTAGGCAGGTGCTGGGTATGACTGGAGGAGGTAGGTCACC